AGGGTGGGGGAAGTCACCCCACTGTGCGGTGGGATTGCGCAGAGGGTCCACTTGGCAACGGGAAACAGCAAATTGGAAATGGGGATTTTCAAATGGAGGAGGCATTCTTCTCATTCCTCTCTCCTCCGTGGTGCAAAATTCTATCGGGGACCTGGAGAAGGAGGAGAACGGCTAAAAAGTAGATTTCCCCCCCCGCCCGCCTACGTGCATCGGTCTATTTTCCCAAGTCCACACAGAGGAAAGGCCCATAAAGCAGGGGGGGCGCAAGAACAACTGCAGGGAACCAGATTTAGGTCCCAGGTAGGGCTGGAGTGGCTCTCTAGTATACCTGGAAAGTTCCCGTTGGGCTACGGCCTGCAGAGAGCTGCTCTTAGCTGAGAGCTAGCTGGAAGTCCCCAAGGAAGGAGGAGGAGGAGGAGGAGGAGGAGACTGGCTTTATACCCTGCCCTTCACTTGGAGTCTCAGAGCGGCTTACAAACTCCTCTCCCTTCCCCTCCCCACAACAGACACCCTGCGAGGTAGGTGGGGCTGAGAGAGCTCTGAGAGAACGGCTCTTTCAGGAACAGCTCCGACATAACTATGGCTTGCTCAAGGTCATCCAGCAGCTGCAAGTGGAGGAGTAGAGAATCAATCCCGGTTCTCCCAGATTACAGTCCGCACACTTAACCACGACACCAAACTGCGCCCATTTCATCCGCTGAGGGCTGGGGCTCCAATACCACCCCCCACACACACATTGCCTGCTTGGCAAAGCTAGCTCCTGGGCCAGCTGAACGTCTCGGCCCACCTCACTGTGGACTAGGGTTGCCAGCCTCCAGGTGGGGCCTGGAGATCTCCCACTATCACAACTGTTCTCCAGACTATAGAGATCAGTTCTCCTGGAGAAAATGGCTGCTTTGGAGGGTGGACCCTATGGCATTATACCCTGTTGAGGTCTCTCCCCTCCCCAAACCCCGCCCTCTCCTGGATCCACCCCCAACCCAGCGCTGGTAACCAGTGTTCCCTCTAAGCGGAGTTAGCATGAGCTAGTTGACAGTTTTTTAGCCTCCGGCTCACACCTTTTTGTCTTACCTCCCGAAGGAGGGCTCCAGAGCAAACTAATTCATGCAGTAGCCAAATCGTTTGCTCAAAACTTTAATGCCAGTAGCTCACAAAGTAGAATCTTTGCTCACAAGCAGGGGTCATTTTCTGCAGGAGCGGAGCTCTGGCAGTAAAGAGCCCAGGGGGCAGGCACATGCAACAAGCCCCGCCCCCTGCTCCCAGCAGCCCCGGGCCACAAGGAGCAAGAAGCAGCCAGGTAAGTTGCAGAGCCCCCACCCCCAGATAGCAATCCAAAACAGTCCAGTGGCACCTTTAAGGCCAAGTTTTATTCAGGTACAAGCTCTCCCTCCTCTGTGAGGACAGATCTGCACGTCTCTCCCCCCCCCCATAGTTAGCAATCCAAGTGTCCAGTGGTGCCTGAGCGGTGGGTGTTGCCTTCTGACACACTTCTGGTGATGTCAGGGGGTGTGGCATATGCAAATGAGTTCTGCTAATGAGTTGTGCTAATGAGCTCCTGCACCTCTTTTTCTACGAAATGACCCCCTGCTCACAAGACTCCACAGCTTAGAGGGAGCATTGTTGGTAACCCTACTGTGGACTTGGTCCACTTTCTGTGTCCCAACAGGACCGGATTATCCAGCCAGGGCCAACTGGGGCAGTGAGGGCTAATGAGGGTTGCCAGCTCGGGGTTGGGAAATACCTGGAGATTTGGAGGGGGCAGAGCCCGAGGTGGGCGGGGCTTGGGGAGGGGAGGGGCTTCCGTGGGGTATGAGGCCATTGAGTCCCCCTTCCAAAGCGGCCGTTTCCTCCAGGTGAAGGCTAGTCATCTCTGTCACCTGGAGACCAGTTGTCATAGCGGGCGTTCTCCAGCCAATGGCAGGAGGCTGCCAGCCCTGGGGCGAATGCTCCCACTCCGCCTTGCAACATTAAAATCGTGAGGTCGGATCCTCGGTGGCACAGAGGCTTGCTCATGGAGAGCGCATTCTTTCCCTGCCCTGTCTGGAAAGCAGAGAGAGGTTTTATGCAAACGCTGCTCGGCAAAAGTGCCGGGGTACAAGCGTTCGCCTTTTGCATGTCATTTGGAAATTGCAGTCCCTGCCGCTCTGAGTGCGGATTCCGGGCATCAAGAAAGGGCTAGATTCACTGACTGCTATTATAAGGCCAACCTAGCAGTTCAAAAGCAAGAAACTGGAAGTAGGTAATTAAGTACCACTTCGGTGGGAAGGTAACAGCGTCCCGTGCGCCTCGGCATTTAGTTGTGCCGGCCACGTGACCATGGAAACGTCTCTGGACAGCGCCGGCTCTTCGGCTTGGAAATGGAGATGATCACCGGCCCCAGAGTCAGATTCGACTGGCTTTCAAGCAAGGGAAACCTTATTATAAGGCTGAAGGACTTAATGGAGCCTTCCCTTTCTCCACGGTTTCACGTGTAAAAATGCTAACTGCTGGAAGCACCACTCCCTTTGCATATAACCCTGGAGGCGACCCGGTGTACCTCTTGTGCTATTTGGGTGCAACATATTTACGCACAAATAATAAGAGCTGAAAAGGGAGACCTGTTTGCAACAAGAAAATAAGTCGTAAATTGGCAAGAGTACACATATTAAGGACATTTCAAAAAAGCAAGTTTCTAGGCCTTAAGAGAAGAACTTAGTATTCCGTTCCTCTCCGTTGGGGAAAAGCTCAGCTCCCCTTCTAAAAAACAAAAGAGATGTATTTTATTTATCTACTTCATTTGTATACTGCTTTTTCTTCCCAACAGGGACACAAAGCGGCTTACAACACTCACCCCTTCTCCGTTTTGTCCTCACAATAACCCTGTGAGGTAGGTGAGGCTGCTGAGACTTTGTGACTGGACCTGAGGTCAACCACCAAGCTTCCACGCCAGAGTGGAGATTCGCACCTGAGTCTCCCAGAGCCTAGTCTAAGGCTCTAACCAGGAGAGCCAGTGGAGTATCTGCCAAGGACACTTGCTGGATGACTTTGGGCCAGTCACACATCCTCAGCCTGCCCTACTTCACAGGGTCGTTGTGAGAATCAAATGGAGGGGAAGAGAATGATGTCAGACACTTTGGGCTGCCACTGGGAAGAACAGGAGGAAGGAGATTGGATTTATACTCTGCCCTTCACTACCCAAAGGTGTCTCAGAGCAGCTTACAATCTCCTTTCCCTTCCCCTCCCCACAACAGACACCCTGTGAGGTAGGTGAGGCTGAGAGAGCTCTCTGGAGAACTGCCCTTGAGAGAACAGCTCTGAGAGAACTTGTGACTGACCCAAGGCCACACCAGCAGCTGCATGTGGAGGAGTAGGGAATCAAACCCCGTTCTCCCAGATTAGAGTCCGCACTCCTAACCACGACACCAAACTGGCTGTCCAACACAGGGCACCAATGAACTAAAGAAAGACGCATTATACAACACTGGCTCCCACAAAGATTTCCCCTTGTGTTTTAAGGTATGTTTCTAACCCACGGAGGGGAAAATATCAGCTTTCTTTCTTTAATAAAAAGTTTCTAGACCAGCTTGTGGAGAAATGCAACAGCTTTTTTTTTTTTTAAGGAAGTTTCTAGCCCATCTGACTGCCGTCGCTTGACAGGAAATGCCTTGGGGAGTCACGGCAGTGAGAGAAGCAGCTGATTAAAGTTCCCAAGGGACCTCAGGCCTCTTCTTCCTCCTGGGCCTCCCCAAGGCTCTTTGACCCTTTCCCTGAAGAGCAAGACCCGAAGAAGGAAAAAAGGGCTTGCGGAAAATATAAATCATTTGTATCTACTGTATTTGCATAAGGTTGCAAAATCCTGATTGTGTCCTCTTGCCGATTTTGGAATGTCAGAGAGAGAGAGAGAGAGAGAGCATGTGCACAAGAGCACATGTGGATGAGTGTTAGAGGCAGTATTCCCTCTAAGCTGAGTGAGTGTGAGCTAGCTCTCAGTTCTTTAGCCTCCGGCTCACACATTTCTGCCTTCGCTCAGGAAGGAGGGCTCCAGAGCAAACTAATTTAGGCAGCGGCCAAATGGCTCACTCACAACTTTCATGCCAGCAGCTCACAAAGTAGAATTTTTTGCTCACAAGACTCCACAGCTTAGAGGGAGCATTGGTTAGGGGTGCCAACATTCAGGCGGGGTCTGGGGATCTCCCAGAATTACAACGAATCTCCAGACGACCAGAATCAGTTCCCCCTGAAGAAAACGCCTGCTGTGGAGGGTGGACTTTCCCTTCCCTTACCAAACCCAGCCCTCCCCAGTAAAGTTGCGAGTCCCTCTGGACACAGGCGGGGAAGGGGTTGGGTAGGGTTGCCGGATCCAGGTTGGGAAGCCCTGGAGATTTGGGGGTGGAGATTTGAGATTTGGGGAATGGAGCCTGCCTAGGACGGGGACCTCGGTGAAGCACAGTGCCATAGACTCCACCCTCCAAAGCAACCGTTTTCTGCAGGGGAACTGATCTCTGTAGTCTGGAGATGAGCTGGAATTCCAGGGCATCCCCAGGCCCCACCTGGAGGTTGGCATCCCTGCTCCCCAGGCTTCGCCTCCAAACCTCCAGGAGTTTCCAAACCCCAAGTTGGCAGTCCTGTACTCACACACGTATTGTGACATACACATACACAGCGATCTATCTAGTCGCGCCCCCCTCCCCAAAAATGTATGCTGTAGGCCCCTCATTCCTTGGCCAGCTGTCTGAGAAAAGCACACGCAGATATTTCCATCTGTAGATTCCAGAGGGCCGGCTACCCCCATGTGGGCAGGGTTCCTGGGAACCTCGCCGCTTCTGTCCCGAAGCTGCTCAAGCCGGTCCAGTTTGTCAACAAGCAGAGCCACGCCCCCCTCCGTGAGCACTGGCCCTGCCGGCCAATGGGAGCCCTGACCTGGAAATTGGGAAAGACAGGTGCTGCCTCTCAGTCACCTGCAGGCCAGAAGGTATAAAAGAGACCCAGGTAATTGCCCCGCTGCCAGTGATTTTGCGCGTGGTGCTGACAGAGGCTGTGCCCAGGCAGGACAGCTCTGCCAACTGGGGGAAAAAAAATTTCCCAGAGCAATAACAAGGAAACCTCTTCATCCATAACATGAGGCCAGCCGGCTTTTAAAACCCCAAACAGGAGTTCTCAAGGGCGGGGAAGAACAGACGCTGGAACATGTGTGGCGGCTGGTAAACTTTGCAAGCCCGGACAAGTAAGTGAACTGGTTTTTCATCTCTCTGCTTGGCGCCGTCCTTTTCTTCCTTCTGTGGTAGCAAAGAAACAAAACAAAAAAGTTCCAATAGGTGCCAGGTGGTTCAGAGCTGGCACAAGAGATTCTGTGGCTCGAGAAGGAAACTCCAGATTGGCACATGCACGCCCCGTCTGCTAGCTAGTTAATGGAAATTTCAGCTCCAGCTACCCCCTTGAAAGAGGCAACGCTGGTAAGATTGAAGAAAGGGACAGAGAGGATGCACGCGCGCACTGCCAGAACTGTGTGCTTCTGGCATTTCTTCCTCCTAGCTAGACTGGAGTTGGCAGGAGCACAAAGGATCCTTTTGTTCACCGGCCGGGCTTGTCTGTGGGCCTGATTTCACCTCTGGGCCGCCAGTTGCCGACCCGTATGTCCCCTGTCGCTAAGTAGCCTGGGGTGCTTCACGCTCCCTCTGGCCTCAGTTCTCCGACCTGTAAAATGGGCGTCATTCAGTGGGTACCCAACAACCTTGCTACATTTTCAGAACAGGGGATCACCGGCTGGCTCTGACACCCGTATGATTGGAGTCGCACCTGAGCTGGACGGCCTTTCCTGCTGTGGAAAAGGCTCGCTTGCCGACGATGGCTGCGGGAAACAAAACGGAATCTTTAAAAAGGATCCCGCGTTTGAAAGGACAAGGCCTGGCTGCCGGTGGGGCCGCTGAATGACCGGGGGGGGGAGGCGCGAAAAAGATGCAGTACTGGAGATTATAGTTTGATTTTCCAAGGGAGCCATGGGGGTCCAGAGAGTAGGACATTAAGGACACTAGAAATGAAGGGGGAGAGAAAGGGGATTTCTCTCACAGATAAACCCTGCAAAGGCACCCTTCCTGAAGAAGGGTGTGGAATTTGAATTCTAGGCCTGTTTTGGCGAGAGAGCAGCTCTCTCGCTCTCTCTCTGGGATGCTTTGAGTGTACTGGGGATAGCTTCAAGGGGCCGGGAGGCACCAGCCCAAAGATCTCTCGGAGCGGAGCGTGAGACTCTTCTAAGGCTCCACCTCCTGCCTCTCTGAAATCAACATCCTGCCATTTACTCATCTAATCGGTCTTAAGCGCACCTATTTTGTGACATCAGAAAGAGAGGATGTTGACACAGGGTGGAGCCGGGCCCACTGGGAGGCAGGGTTGCCCGTTGGATCGATGTTTGTAAACAGCAGGCTTCCCGGGGAGGGAAAGGAGCAGACGAGGAGGTGAAGATTCGGACGGAGGGAGCGGGAACGTTTCCCGTTCCTAGGCCTTGGGATCACTGTCAGGCGTTGGGAACATCTGGCTTTCACCAATCAAAGCGGTTCGATGAAGCGTAACTCTTATTTTTCCATCTGCGAAGCCCTAGTAGGGAGACTGCCCTGAGAATTGTGGAAAGAGAGTTGTCCGGATGGGAAGTGTCCGGATGTGACTGCGATAAAGAAGGCCAATGCTATGCTGGGGATTATTAGGAAGGGTGTTGAAAACAGATCAGCCAATATCATAATGCCCCTATATAAATCAATGGTGCGACCTCATTTGGAATACTGTGTGCAGTTCTGGGCACCACACCTTAAAAAGGATATTATAGCTTTGGGAAAAGTGCAGAAAAGGGCAACTCGAATGATAAAGGGGTTGGAACACTTTCCCTATGAGGAAAGGTTAAAGCGCTTAGGGCTCTTTAGCTTGGAGAAAAGACGACTGAGGGGTGAGATGATCGAGGTTTATAAGATTATGCATGGGAAAGAGCAGGTGGAGAAAGAGGTACTTTTCTCCCTTTCTCACAATACAAGAACTCGTGGGCACTCAATGAAACTGCAGAGCGGTCGGGTTAGAACGGATAAAAGGAAGTACTTCTTCACCCAAAGAGTGATTAACACATGGAATTCACTGCCACAGGAAGTGGTGGCGGCTACAAGCATGGACGGCTTCAAAAGGGAATTAGATAAGCATATGGAGCAGAGGTCCATCAGTGGATATTAGCCACAAGGTATAGCTAGGGGCTCTGGGGCAAGTGATGCTCTGACTTCTTGGTGCTTGGGGGGGGGTCAACAGTGGGAGGGCTTCTAATGTCCTGGCCCCACTGGTGGACCTCCTGATGGCACCTGGTATTTCTGGCCACTGTGTGACACAGAGTGTTGGACTGGATGGGCCTTTGGCCTGATCCAACATTGGCATCTCTTATGTTCTTATGTTCTTATGAAGATACAGGAGCAATGGTTTCACGGCACTGTGCTCCTTCGGCAATTCGTGGCTATGTCAGTATTGGCTGGCGAATGGGCTATGATGAGGTTACCCTCTTAGCTCCCTCGGAGGTAGCTGAGCTAAAATGCGGATCGACAGCCGGATTATTGCACAACTGTGCGCTACCTAAGCGGAATGAAAATATATATATTGCGGGAGCCCAAAGTGGCAGGACACAGAGGAGGCTTCCCGCCGCATCTTTGCATGAGTCGCCGCTCTCATCTTGGGCTTGGCCATAGTGGCTCAAGGAACTTTGCCTTGTCTCTGCATCGGGTGTGATTGCAAGACCCGGTCACTCCCAACAGCAGAGGATAAGTTGTCCTCAGGGGAGGCTGCCAGTCGCATCTCTGTCTGAGTCACCGAGATCGTCAGGAGCTGCTGATCAGACTGAAGCAAGGCCAGAGCAGTGACTCACCCAGGAGCCACTTTACTCCTCACTCATAGGCAACTTAACTTTTTTTTGGCGGCAAGAGAGGAGAGTGACTCCAACTTTAATTCTGTAATCAGATCCTCTTAGCTACCAGACATTTAGACAGAACTGCATAACAAACTGTATGCCTATATAATGCCCATGTGCTAGGAAGTATCCCCGGAGGGCACAGAAGAGCACGTAAGCCAGCCGTTGATATGTCACATGCAACACTCCCTCTAAACTGTGGAGTCTTGTGAGCAAAAGTTCTACTTGTGAGCTACTGGCATTAAAGTTGTGAGCGAGTGACTTGGCTACGGCATAAATTAGTTTTCTCTGGAGCCATCTTGAGCCAAGACAAAAATGTGTGAGTTGGAGGCTTAAAAACTGTGAGCTAGCTCACACTAACTCAGCTTAGAGGGAACACTGGTCGCCAGTGTTCCCTCTAAGCTGTCAAGTCTTGTGAGCAAAAAGTCTACTTTGTGAGCTACCAGCATTGAAGTTGTGAGTGAGCGATTGGGCTGCTGCATCAATTCGTTTGCTCCGGAGCCGTCCTTCCTGAGCGAAGACAAAAAGGTGTGAGCTGGAGGCTAAAAAACCGTGAGCTAGCTCACACTAACTCAGCTTAGAGGGAACACAGCTGGTCACATGATCCACAAACATTCGGAGCATTATTGTTTGCTAACTGTTCCTAACAATGTGCCAAGGGAGGGAGGAGGGACTCTCCCATAATGTTGTGTTTATTGGAGCCATATAAGGTGGCACATCACACACCAGTGGTTTACCTTAACGGCAGGGTATGTTGCGTTGCTGGATCGGACCAAAGAACCATTTAAGTTCAGCATTCTGTTGCCAGCAGGGGCCAACCAGCTCCTACTGGAAGCAAGCAGGATATGCATTATGCATGCAAGAGCTGTCCAGTTGCAACCAACTTATGGTGACTCCAGCAAGGGGCTTTCAAGGAAGTGAGAAGCAGAGGTGGTTGGCCACTGCCTCCTTCTGCAGGGCCTTCCTTGGGGATCCCCCATCCAAGTACCAACCCTGCTTAGCTTCCGAGATCATGCTGCCTTACATTACCAATAAGGAGAGATTGGATTTATACCCTGCCCTTCACTCAGGAGTCTCAGAGTGGCTTACAAACTCCTTTCCTTTCCCCTCCCCACAACAGACACCCTGGGAGGTAGGTGGGGCTGAGAGAGCTCTGAGAGAACTGTCCTTGAGAGAACAGCTCCGAGAGAACTATGGCTTGCCCAAGGTCATCCAGCAGCTGCAAGGGGAGGAGTGGGGAATCCAACCCGGTTCTCCCAGATTAGAGTCCGTGCACGTAACCGCTACACCAAACTGGAGATTTTTGCTTCCCAGCAAGGTATCCTGCCTTTGACCAAGGAGGTTCTCGAGCTCGTATGGTGTTCCTTGAAGGGAAGGGAGCCAAATGACCACTTCCCCTGGAGGAATAAGAGCCTACAGTAGTCTCAGTGGTACGAGCGAGTGTTGAGCTGGCCATTTGCTTTAACCTTTGCTGCTGGGTTAAAAAGTGGCAATGATTCAGCATCTAGGAGGGGGGTAGCATGTGACTGGAACAGGCAGAAAGGCAGCTTAAACAGAGCTCCTCAACAGAGCACCCCACGCAAGGCATGCAGTCGGGATTTTCCCCCCAGGGACCTGTTGCTCCTTAAGGATGACGCAGTCTCCGGAGATCACTGGCAGTCTCCGGAGCAGTCTAGTCTTGGGAACAGGTTTTGCAAGTGCCTATGAGCGGACAGAAAACAAATCTTTTCCCGGGGCTCTAAACATGGTGGCAGTTTTTCACAGGGCCTTCCCGTCAAACATGAGAATCCAATGGGAGGCAGGTCTAAACCCACACCCATTACAAGAAATCTAAACAATGAGTTGGCACGGGCCTTCTTGCCTTCCGGGCATAGACGAGAAACGTAGTGTGGTGTAGGGCTTAGAGTGTCGGACCTGGATTTGGGGGGGGGGGGGCAATCCTTATTCAGCCACAATGCTCCCTGGGTTAGCCTAGAACAGTCATGATATCTCAGCTAAGCCTGCCTTGAAGGGACATCGTTGGGGGGGAAAGCAGGTGATTATGCAGTAATGCCAGAGCTGACGAGGTTTCTCCCATGGAAGGTCCGTATCATATCTAACTTCCCCTGGTTTTCTGTGGTAGACAGGTGGAAACACTTCATTCTGTCCTGCATTTCATTAACAGATTCCACACACACCCCTTTGCTTTTAACATAAATCACCCTCAAAACTGTACAGTGAAGGCTAATTGATCTACTGGTGACTTGGCAAATAGAAACACACTATAAAAATAAATATTAAATTTAAAAATGAAAAATAAATTAAAAATAAAAAATAAAAATAAGGTGCTGCGGTGGCTCAAGTGGTTAAGACGCTGAACTGCAGGCTGTGGAAGGTCGGTAGTTCAGCAGTTCGAGACCCGAGTGCGCCGCATGATGGAGTGAGTTCCCATCTCTAGTTCCAGCTCCTGCCAACCTAGCAGTTCGAAAGCAAGAAATTGCAAGTAGATAAATAGGTACCGCTTTGGTGGGAAGGTAACAGCGTTCCGTGCGCCTTGGTGCTTAGTCATGCCGGCCACATGACCACGGAAACGTCTTCGGACAGCGCTGGCTCTTCGGCTTTGAAACGGAGATGAGCACCGCAACCCTAGGGTCGGACTTGACTGGCTTTCGAGCAAGGGAACCTTTACCTTTATAAAAATAAAACTTGCAAAACCATTAAAATGGGTTTGTGTGTGGGGGGTAAATATCGAATCAGATTACAGATTAGAACTTGCTCAAGAATGATTACGTACAGGTCCCTCTCCTATTTAATTCCCATCTTTATGGGAAACGAGTGTTGTTGATCAGAAACAGGACACTCTCTGTGGTGGCCCCAAGACTGTGGAAGACACTCACCCTGGAGGTCTCTCACAGGTTGGCATCAAGGATAGGCATCGCTGGGTCCCTGCTGCGGACCCCCCAGGAGACAGGAAAACTCCGGGTCAGTTTCCTGTTTCTCCGTGGGCAATGAGGAGGGAGTAACAAGAGCGCGAGAGAACTGGGCTGTTCCAGAGCTCCTTCCAACCCCGCAGTGACTTGTTCTTGCTCCTTCTAGTCCAGGAAGTGCAGCTGCAAGGGAGAGTAGTGAAGTCAACCTTGGTTGGAGGGAAGAGGCGTTCTGATAAAGGTTCTAAAGCCACCCCACACCCAAGAAAACCTGAAGCCACCCCTTGCGTAACTGCAATTTTTTCTGCTTTTGGAATGAGTTGGAATTATCTCCTATATTTTCCTGATCCCATTATTCCTCTTTTAATGTTTCTGGAAAGGGCTTTCCACCTGCAGTGTTGTCGTTACAGGTTCTCATTTTAGTTTAGCTTTCTGGACTCCTTGGGCAAACGGTAGGAGACAGAGGGTTAATAAATAAAATCCAAGGTGGTCAACAGTTGCTCATTCCCCGGGAGGTATAGCAATAGCGGAATAGAGAAAAAGTTTACACGGCACCAGCCCGGATCGGGACGGGAGCAGGAAATGAGCTCTATTAATGAGAAGAAGAGATAAATCTTGCAGGGCTGAGAGGTGCTTGACCTGCATTTAGCCGACCAGGAAGTCAGCCAAGGGGGAAATCAGAGTGGAGTTTTGAAGCAGAGCTTCCCGTCGCAGGGAACATTTTGCCATGTCACGGTTGCAAGGCAGAAAGGTGCACAGCCCTTGGCACAAGGACCAGCAGAAGTGAAAGGATGGAGAGAGTTCTCTGGGATGGATTGCGGATACTCCGCTGCCCGCTAGCTTCGCCATTACAACCCTCACCCTGAACCTCTCGGCCCCCAGTCCTCAACTACATCAGAGGGGCCTGGGGACAATGAGTGGCCAATTCCCCTCCAACTTGTTTTCTGTCACCCATCAAACTCAATCCCCACCACTGCACAAAGGCACAGAGACAGAGACAGAGACAGAGAGACAGAGGCTGATTTCGCACTAGAGCTGCCTCGATGCTGCGCCACCGTTTGCCCCGCGGCTTCGCCCGATTTCCTCCACACTTCCCAAAAACCAGGATCACGAAATTGCGGGGGGAATCGGGCGAAGCCACGAGTCAAAATGCAGCCGCGCAGCTTCAGGTGTGAAATTGAGACATGATGGGAGAGATCCTGTCACATTTGAAGATAACTGCCAAACAAGCAGCTCCTGAAAGATCGAGATGTTCAGGTGTTGGCAGGTGACCCTTGGTAGCCTTGGTTCAGACAAAACTCTCGCACATACTCTGGCTACACAGAAAGAGGAGGAACCTCTGCAGGGCATAATCCGTCATCCAAAGGGGCTCTTTTCTCCTGATCTCTGTAGTGTGGATATCAGTTGTAATTCTGGGAGACCTCCAGGCCCCACTGGGAGGCCGGCAAACTGAGTCAGGGATAGTGATCTGAAATCAACTGAGATAAGTACGGCACTGCCCATCACTCAGCCAGCATTTGCTCAGGGTGAGGAGCCAGGCCTCGCTCAGAACGGTATTGGCTCTCTGTGGCATAATAACTGGGCGGCTTGAGAGCCTCCATCTTGCTTTCTGTCTACAGACCATGAGGGAGATTTGGCCATCCACATCCCTCAACTTCCAACCTTTAAAGGTTCTTCCCTTTAAAGCCCTTTATGCTCAGGGGACCACATACCTGAGGGACTGCTTTTCCCCACATGTTCCCCAGAGGAGCACTGCAATCAGGGGTCCAGAACCAACGGGCCCTCCCTAGTCTTAAGGAGACCAAGCTGGCGTCAACCAAGGCCAGGGCTTTCTCGGTTCTGGTGGAACGAGCTCCCAGAAGAGATCAGGGCCCTGCAGGACCTTTTGCAGTTCCGCAGGGCCTGTAAGACGGAGCTCTTCCACCAAGCTTTTGGAGCTGCCCCTACCGTTAAATACCACCGTTAAACATCGCTAACAACCAACAACTGAAGGATAGAGAGCCCTGTGCCCCTGGAATTTCCAATAACAGCCTGAGCCAGCTGCCTAAAGAACATCTAAAAGAAGACCCAGGAGCCAACTGTGAGATGAGAGAACCGAGCACTGCGACCATCGCTAAATTAATGAGAACAATACTAGCATTTTACTATGTTAGATGGTTATATGGTTTTAGAATTGTATTAATTGTTTGATTGTAATTTATGTGCTATTCTTATGTAAGCTGCCCATAAACCATCCAGACGGTGCTTGGGCCTCCTCGTGGACAAAATCCCGGCTTAGAGACCCCTGGCGCACTAGGCCAGGTCAATGGCTACAGTTCATTGGTGGACCTCCTGATGGCACTTGGTATTTTTGGCCACTGTGTGACAGAGTGTTGGACTGGACGGGCCTTTGGCCTGATCCAGCATTGGCTTCTCTTACGTTCTTATGGATAAGCATACGGAGCAGAGGTCCATCAGTGGCTATTAGCCACAAGGTATAGCTAGGGGCTCTGGGGCAAGGGATGCTCTGTATTCTTGGTGCTTGGGGGGGGGGCAACCGTGGGAGGGCTTCTAGTGTCCTGGCCCCACTGCTGGACCTCCTGATGGCAGCTGGTGTTTTTGGCCACTGTGTGACAGAGTGTTGGACTGGATGGGCCGCTGGCCTGATCCAACATTGGCTTCTCTGATGTTCTTATGCTCAGAATAGCGAGTTAAGAGCCTTCCCTGTCCTTTGGCCACTGAATGGATTTGTCTGTCTGTCTTAGGCGTCGTTCCGGCTGCCCATCCCCGTCACCACTACCTCCTCAGCCCTAGCGAGATCCCTTAGTGGATTTCATGGAGACGGCCGCCCTCCTCTCTTCCCGCCTGAGGAGAAGCACCGGCTGGGGTATGTGTTCCTTTTTGACCTTTTATGCTTCTGCCTTTCCTCTGCTCTTCTCTCCCTTGCTCAGGTGTGAAGGAACTAGTGGTGACGGGAGCTGGTGGAGGGCAAAGCCGCCTATGTCGGGCGTGTGTGGAAAATAAGGTGGTGGACGTCAATGCAAGGATTGCTCGCTGCCTCCCATATTGTCCAGACCCCCAGTTACAGTCCTCTGGCCAAGCCCTGCATAGGATGGCCCCACCTACAGGGGCAGGTGACAGCCAGTGACAGGACTTGGGCAGTGGTGGCTCCTCACTTTAAGAATGGCCTCATTTTTGGTGCTTACCAGGCATCTGCCGAAGCTTCACATTTTAGCCAGGGTTTTAATGGACTAGTTCCAATTTTTGTGTGTGCGTGCTGTTTTTATGGTCTGCTTCTAACTGCATTGGAGTTGCGGTGGCTCAGGTGATTAAGGTGCTGAACTGCAGGCTGTGGAAGGTTGGTAGTTCAGCAGTTCGAGACCCGGGTGTGTCGCATGACGGAGTGAGCTCCCGTCTCTAGTTCCAGCTCCTGCCAACCTAGCAGTTCGAAAGCAAGAAATTGCAAGTAGATAAATAGGTACCACTTCAGTGGGAAGGTCACAGCGTTCCGTGCGCCTTGGTGTTTAGTCATGCCGGCCACATGACCACGGAAACATCTTCGGACAGCGCTGGCTCTTCAGCTTTGAAATGGAGATGAGCACCGCAACCCTGGAGTCGGACTCGACTGGCTTTCGAGCAAGGAACCTTTTTTCTAGCTGCATTACTGTTTTGGGGATATCATTTTAAACTGCTCGTTTGTTTTTTGCTGTTTTTTTATGTCCCTGTCTTGTTTTTATGGATTTTTCTGATCATGCTCGCGCGGATGATACTGCAGTTTTGTTTTCACTTTGTGAACTGCCTTGAGAAAGGGAAATTTGGGGAAACACTGCAGTAAAACCTGGATAGAGCAGCGGTGTGGTTGGGAAAATTGAGATTTCCCCACCCACATGGCAGCCATTTCCCCTAAGCCTGTCCCAGCAATGGCCACTCCTTATATCTGCTGGGGCAGGGTGCTTTTAATTTTTTTTAACATTCCGCACTAGAATATTGTCATCTCAATAAAATGTTATACTAATATGTGTGCTGGGTACTCGGAATTCCTAGCTATAGTTTTTAGAGAGTCTGTAGTTTATTTGGCAAATATTTTTTTATTTGGCAAACTGGTGCTTTCTCAAGAGCCATTCAGAAGGCGAGTAAGAAAAGCTATATCTCTATTGTTTCATCCCTCAACAATACTAATGTGATTTATCCAGTTTGGTGTCGTGGTTAAGTGTGTGGACTCTGATCTGGGAGAACTGGATTTGATTCCCCACTCCTCCACTTGCAGCTGCTGGATGACCTTGGGCAAGCCATAGTTCTGTCAGAGCTGTTCTTGAAAAAGAGCAGTTTCTGTCAAGAGCTCTCTCAGTCCCACCTACCTCACAGGGTGTCTGTTGTGGGGAGGGGAAGGGAAAGGAGATTGTAAGCCGCTCTGAGACTCCTTCAGGTAGTGAAGGGCGGGGTACAAATCCAATCTCTTCTCTTCTTCCTAGGATATAGACTAGTTCTGTCTCAACCGATAAGGAATTCTAAATGTAAATCGCACCAGAGGGCTTCAGGGATAGCACTGTGTGGGAAAGTAACCTTTACAAGACTTAAGTAAGCCCACCTCTGGCAATAAGCTATGGGATTGTAGGCTCTGGAACGATAGACCTTACCCATTTTAACCTGTATTTCCCGGCACCTCCAGGAATACAAGGCATTTCATGCACACAAACCCACTGCATTTCGTACAACCCCCCCTGTAAGGCAGGCCAGTTAAGAGTGACCTGTCTAAAGCCACCTAGTAAGTTAGTGGCAGAGACCAGATCTGAACCCCCGGGGACTTTCTGAACGGCCGCTCACTCTCTTGCCTACGACAGCCCACCAGTTGATACCAAGAGTGTCACTCACCGCCTCTTCCCTTGTCTTTGCAGATTCCGTCATGTCCTGCATCACCCAAATATGGCAAGCGGAAGTGCCAGACTCTCCCCCAATGAGCCCCTTGAGCCCCATCCCAGCTGCACCCAATGAAATCCCGATCCCCCTCAGCCCCATTGTGATCACCTCTCCGGCGACCAGCTCCCCTGCGGCCAGCTTCCCTGCAGAAGGAAGGCCCAGGGTGTGCTCCCCGATACGGTCTCCGGTGGATGGCAAACTGAGGCTCGGCTCGCCGACGGACAAGCCCACCTCCCCTATCGAGTGCTCCATCTGCTTCAACACCTACGACAACATTTTCAAGACGCCCAAGGTCCTGGAATGCCAGCACACCTTCTGCTTAGAGTGCCTGGCCCGCCTGACCGCCGCGCTCCCCGCGAACCGAGTGGAAGATCAGCTGCCGTGCCCTTTTTGCCGTCAGCTCACCGAAATCCCCCTCGAGGGGCCACCGGGCCTCCGGACGAGCAAGGAACTCTTGGCCACCTTGCCAGCCGAACTCCAGCGCGAGAAGGTCATCTGGATGGAAGGCACCAAGCTGTGCTGCAGGCAGACGTCCGACCCGGAGAACCCAGACTGCATCAGCATCGACGTGGGCCTGAGCAAACCAGAAGCCCCGGAGCTGCCCCCAGACACTTTCATGGGGAGGTTGTCTCGCTGTACCATGTGCGATGACTGGAAACGCATTGTCCTCCTCTCGGCGTTGATCATTATCCTGTTCTGCATCATTCTCTGGCCGGTTCAGTGCGTCCTGAAAACGGGCAACCTTCGTTGTTTTGCTAGGACTTACACGATGACCAAGCCGTACATTCCATATCATCCGCCGACCACCACAGCACCGACGACGGCAGCCCTTGATCCCATATGGTGACCCCGGGAGACGGACTTCTTTATGGTGCACCAGAACTCTACCCTGCTCACGTGGACACTTTTTTTTTGGTTATTACTTGAAGTATTCTTGCCGCTCTTCATGCACACTGAACAGCTTCGTAAACCATTGCTAGGCTAAACCTTGGCTGCTGCCACGCGTACCCTTTATTTATGATGCATTAACGCCAGTGGCCGCACAGAACATGCGGGGGGAACCAAACCTTTTGTACGGTATGACCGCGATCGGGTGGTTTTCTTTAGGATACCTGCCGAAGAACCCGACCCACCGCGCTAGCCGGAAATCCCAAACTAAATAATAAGCAGACGGTTGAATCATGTACGGTGTTGTGCCCTGACGTATCGCGGTGACCAATAAAAATCAAAAGGAGCTTGTGCCGAAGGCTGAATCCGCTGTGCATAATACGTGTGTTTAATTCTACATGAAGAGGAGCTATTTAATTTTATATGTGATATTAAAACATTTCAGTTTTATAGATCTAGATGTGTGTGGTATTATACCAATACTCATTCTTGGCTGCCTTCCTTTCTCTGTTTCCCTGAATGCCTTAGGGAAGAAGAATACTTAATGGAAGGGAGGGATACAGTGGGGAATTTTTTTTACCGGGGGGGGGGGAGAGGAGGAAGGATACAGTGGCTGCCTAACTTCAGACGCGGGGAATTGGTTTGAAATTGTTTTTAACCTCATTTATATCCCGCCTTTCTCAAAATGGGGACCCCCAAAGCAGCTTACATGGTCAGGCCCGTAGCCAGTGTTCCCTCTAAGCTGAGTTAGTGTGAGCCAGCTCACAGCTTTTTAGCCTCCAGCTCACACATTTCTGTCTGCGCTCAGGAAGGAGGGCTCCAGGGCAAACTAATCTATGCAGTCGCCAAATCGCTCGCTCACAACTTTAATGCTACTAGCTCACAAAACAGAATTTTTGCTCACAAGACTCCACAGCTTAGAGGGAACATTGCCCGTAGCCAGGATTTTTTAAAGTTGGGGGGCATTTACATTTCTTAGGGGGCCCTGGCTAATCAAATTAAAGGAGTACCCGGCTCCTTCCCCGCACCTGCTGTCACTTGGGGGGCCCTGGGCTGGATGGGAAGTTGTGGGGCTGTGCCCGTAAGTCAGGGGGCCTAGCCCCAGGATGCCCCCACTGTAGCTACGGGCCTATACATGGTTCTCCTTTCCACCATTTTATCCCCACAACTTCCCTGTGAAGGGAGTTAGGCTAAGTGTAGGAAAGAGGCCCCGAGTAACTCAGCAAAATAACACAGTAGAGAGGGGATTCGAATCTGGGTCTCCCAAATCATAGTCTGACACTCTAACCACGCTGGATTGCTGTTTGACCCCTCCTTCCCCCCCGTGCCCCACATTTCCCCAGTATGTGAAACATTTCCACATCGTAGTGGGAAGGATATGGCAGAAAGCTTTTGGGAGACGAGAAAGTTTACCTAAAACAATTAAACGCAGAGGACAGGATAACACCCCCATCCGAGGAGGAAAGCAAGCAAGAGCAAGATGGGAGGGCTAGAGCTGTTCTGAATTAGCACCAAACTGGTGATCAAGGCCTAAACAGCCGAGGGATCCCAAAGTCAGGGCAGAACACTGTATTCTAGCCTCTGGGAGGTGGCGTGGGCTTTCCAATCATGTTTGGAGAGCTCCCGAGGAAGCAGAGTTGGGATTTCCTCAGTTACATGGCAGTCCAAAGAAAGTCACGAACGAGTGACACTTCCCCCTTGACGTTTCTCTGTCGATAGACTCTGGTTCACACGGAAGACTAATGGAACCTGGCTGGCCTGGAACCAGCACTCCACCTGACTCACTTCGTCTTTCGTGGCCCAGAATCCTTTGCGACAGCAGGGTCATTTCCCAGACAAGTTTCTTAATTTCTCGATTGGGCAAGAGAGTGGGAGGACTGGGGCAGCAGGGTAAAGAGGAGACGATAAATACAGATGACAGATTTAGGTGGGGACCAATACTCCCTCTAAGCTGTGGAGTCTTGTGAGCAAAAATTCTGCTTTGTGAGCGACAGGCATTAAAGTTGTGAGCGAGCCATTTGGCTACTGCATAAATTATTTTGTTCTGGAGCCCATCCTTCCTGAGCTAAGACAAAAATGTGTGAGCTGGAGGCTAAAAAACTGTGAGCTAGCTCACACTGACTCAGCTTAGAGGGAACACTGGTGGGGACATACCTGGAGATTTGGGGGATGCTGCCTGGAGGTGTGGGGAGGGGCGGGACCTCAGCAGGGTACAATGCCATAGAGCCCACCTTCCAAAGCCGCCATTTCCCCCAAGGGGGGGCACTGAATCGGTTGTCTGAAAATCAATTGCAATCGTAGATCTCCAGGCCCCACCTGGAGGTTGGCAGCTCTAACTATAGCCCATCTCATTCCCTCTCTCTCTGACTTGGCTGCCTGCCTGCCATTTGCCCCATGGTTTGCTCTAAGTTGCAGAGAGCTGCGGTGGCTCAAGTGGTTAAGACACTGAACTGCAGGCTGTGGAAGGCCAGTAGTTCAGCAGTTCGAGACCCGGGTGCCGCATGACGGAGTGAGCTCCCATCTCTAGTTCCAGCTCCTGCCAACCTAGCAGTTCGAAAGCAAGAAATTGCAAGTAGATAAATAGGGACCACTTCGGTGGGAAGGTAACAGCGTTCCGTGCGCCTTGGTGTTTAGTCATGCCGGCCACATGACCACGGAAACGTCTTCGGACAGCGCTGGCTCTTCGGCTTTGAAATGGAGATGAGCACCGCAACCCTAGAGTCGGACTTGACTGGCTTTCGAGCAAGGGAACCTTTACCTTTTACCTTGCACTAAGTTACATAAGAACACACACGTGGCTAGGGACAGGGGGACGGGACGGGACGGTAAACAATCCTGAGCCAGAGGAAACTGAGATGGCAGAAAGGGTACACATTTGCCCTCGTCCCCCTGTTCGCCATGCCTTGGCCCTGATCCAGTTACAGCTGTGTTTGTGTTTTGGAGTCTCCGTCTAGAGGGAAGTCCGCGGTGTTTGAGCAGAATGGCTCATAATAGTTTTCAGGTAGGAGCCGCCAGTTCAGCCCCTCCCGCCCAGCAGACGCCAACACTTTCCCTCGCAGCGCGAACACAAAACACACCAGCGAGACGGTGGCGGAAGTCTTGACGCACTCTGTCAAGGCAGTTTGCCCAGACGACCTCGTGACCTTTTAAAAAACACAGGAAACTCGGTGTCTGGCAAATGCCATCATATTTGCACCCGTTAACCAGCTGCTGACTGCGTTCAGGTTGGCCCGTTTCTGTGAAATGATGATGTCTTCATTTGGAAGCTTTGCATTGCGAATATTCTTCCTTTAAAAAAAAGAAACATGGGGGAAGGACCATTCTAGAATTCGGTTCTGAAACTGAGCTGTCAGTGCCAAGGAAATGTTTTGTTTTTACATACGTACAGAGAGATTTATGTTTTAACCAGGGGTCATTTCGTAGAAAAAGAGGCGCAGAAGCTCATTAGCTTAACTTATTTGCATAGGCCACACACCCTGACATCACCGGAAGTGTGTCAGAAGGCAATACCCACCGCTCAGGCTCCACTGAACTGTTTTGGATTGGTAGGTATTGGGGGGGGGGGAACGTGCAGATCTGTCCTTGCAGAGGAGGGAGAGCTTGTACGTGAATAAAACTTGGTCTTAAAGGTGCCACTGGACTGTTTTGGACCGGGGGGGCCGATGGGGGGGGGGCTCTGCAGCTTACCTGGCTGCTTCTTGCTCTGACTGAGGGCTGCTGAGAGCAGGGGGGGGGGCTTGTTGCATGTGCCCGCCCCCTGGGCTCTTTACTGCCGGAGCTCCGCTCCTGTGCGCTCCTGCAGGAAATGACCCCTGGTTTTAACTATGGTCCTTTACATATGGGTTGTTTGCCACTGGCTCTGGGGAAGCAGGGGTTTTCCCCACTGCAATGGGGGGCGTCTATGCCTCTCCTGAGTTTCCCCCCTGCTTTACTGCTACATCTTAGGAAAAACCGCAGTAAAGCTGGGTGGCACCCACGTGGGTGGGGGAAGTCTGGATCTTTCTGTCCCACCTACATTGGTGCCATTTCCCATGTCAAGGCCATGTACCCCATCAGAGGGGGGTTTTGGTTCCATATCGGCCACTGACATCGCATTAGAGTATTTTGTTGTTCAGTCGCACAGTCGAGTCTGACTCTTCGCGACCCCATGGACCAGATCACGCCCGGCCCTCCTGTCTTCCGCCGTCCTCTGAAGTTTGCTCAATTTCATGTTCGTTGCATCGATGACACTGTCTAACCATCTCATCCTTTGCCGTCCCCGTCTTCTTTGACCTTCAATCTTTCCCAGCATCAGGGTCTTCTCCAGTGAGGGCTCCCTTCTCATTGGGTGGCCAAAGTATTTGAGCTTCAGTTTCATTATCTGGCCATCCAGGGAACAGTCAGGGTTGATTTCTTTTAGGATTGACTGATTTGATCTTCTTTCAGTCCAAGGGACTCTCAAGAGTCTTCTCCAGCACCATAGTTCAAAAGAATCTATTCTTCGGCGCTCGGCCTTCCTTATAGTCCAACTCTCGCAGCCATACATGACTACTGGGAATACCATTGCTTTGACCATGCGGACTTTTGTTGGCAGGGTGATGTCTCTACTTTTTATCATGCTGTTTAGGTTCGCCATCGCTTTCCTCCCAAGGAGCAGGCGTCTTTTAATTTCATGGCTGCTGTCACAGTCTGCAGTGATCTGGGATCCCAGGAACGTGAAGTCTGTTACTACTTCCACGACTTCCCCTTCTATTTGCCAAGGAGTGATGGGGCCGGATGCCATGATCTTAGTTTTTTTGATGTTGATTAGAGTATTACAAGATCATAATAATTTGTCTATCCAGGTATTCTTAACTCCCCAGCTTCTGTTTTGCATTTTTTAAAAAGTCTCTACCTTCTTTCACTGGGGAGATACGCCTTTCCCCTTATATCGCCACAATGAAAACGGGACTCAAGCATTCCTTTTTTTTGGGAGGGGAAGCTGGGAGTTAAGAGAACCTGACAGATGATTATAATGATATGTCAAGTGCTGATTGATGGCAGACCGGATATCTGCTGCGGGGGAAATGGGACAGGCAACAGGCAGGAAATCCTGACGTGGACGTCCCAATGCAGACACACTGCATCGACAGCCACAGCAATGACAGGAAAACCACACAAGAGCATCCACATAGGGAAAATACCCAGGGCTATTTTTGGGGAGGAATGCGGCTCCCAAGTTGGCCACGCCCAGCAGGAACTCATTAGCATAATAGCTGGCCACGCCCAGCAGGAACTCATTAGGATTGGCTACATTAGGGGTGTGTGGCCTAACATGCAAAGGAGTTCCTGCTACAAAAAAAGCCCTGGGTTTGGACAACAAACAAGGTAAACAGAATAACAAGCAAAAGGTGGGTGTGGCTGGATAACCACACTTCTGGTAACA